ATCCATCCGTCCATCTATCCACCCGTCCATCCATCCATCCGTCCATAATCCATCCATCATCCATCCTTCCATCTGTCCATCCATCCATCTGTCCATCCATCCATCTGTCCATCCATCCATCCGTCCATCTATCCACCCGTCCATCCATCCGTCCATCCATAATCCATCCATCATCCATCCTTCCATCTGTCCATCCGTCCATCTGTCCATCCATCTATCCATCTGTCCAGCCATCCATCCGTCCATCTGTCCATCCATCCATCCATCCATCCATCCATCCATCCATCCATTGCGGCCAGTGACTAGCTCTCCAGCGTTCCTCCGCCTGCATCAAATGAGTGAAGCGAGCGTGCACGGGAGGACTCGCTGTCGCAGTTCTTAGAAATTTAAAGCATCAGTCAGAACTTGTATGGATATGGAAGAAAAACTTATTCAAGTCTCTTTGGCGTATAAGTCTATGTGAAAAACTGCGACTCGTGCGCCGGAAAACACGGTAATTGGGACTCAGAACCGTGAGCCGAAGAACAAAAACAGTCAGTTCTGGAGAAGTTCTCCTGATCCTGTTGTTTTTTGTTTTGTTTTCACCTCCTCCCTCTCAGTCTGGTCTGTAACCGGACTCTGAAGAACGTTCAAGTTCAAGGTTCAAATCTGAGCCCGTCGTCTGAAACACTCGTTTTGTCACGTTTATCTGCGGCTGTTCCACGTTGCGTCACGACTGGACGTGATGGTTAGAGCGTCTGTGCGTGGAGATTACAACTTCTTTAAATCTTTGATAAAGTTCCTAAACTTTAACGTTGTTTTAATAAACGTTGCATTCATTAAAGTTACCTGCATCAGTTTTCAACCCCAGACATCATGAAAATTCATCTTTTCACAGAATGTTTTCAAATAAAAGACGCCAAGTTTTAGTCTGTGAATAATAATTAACACTTAAAAACAAAAAAACTTAAAAATGATTAAAAAAAAATTCAAGGTTGAATTGTAACGTTTCTCGTTAATCATTAGACGAACTTTCACCAGTTTATCTCAGGACTTTCCTGTAGAAATCCTCCAGAAGCTGTTTGTTCTGAACTTTGGTGTGAACCAGGAGGGACTGGAGGAGCTGAGGGGTTAACGAGCGAACGAGACTTGTTGATCAAGATCTGGCAGGATCCATCTAGACCAGTGGTGCCTAACCCTGGTCCCTGAGGAACCCCATCCTGCAGGTTTTAGTTGTTTCTCTGCTCCAACACGCCTCTCAGATTTAGGTGAGCGTATGAATACATTTGACCCTGTGGTTGCAGTGTTCTGGTTGTGGTTCCAGGTTCAGAGCCAGGTCCATATTTGGGTTTGGGGTGGGACCGTGAGTCCAGCTCCCGGTGCTGCTATTGCTTTTACTGGAGGACACGTGGGAGGGGGAGCAGGACTTTAGACTTTAGAGCGCACTCTCAGTGGAACAGGTGAAGAAGCACACCTGGCGCTGTGGGAGGGCGTGGCCACGGAGCTGCAGTGGAGGTTCGGTCCGATCGGCTTCCTGTGGGGGTCTGATGGGGAACCAGGAGAACTGGACCGGACTCAGGTTTGGGTTTTTCTCTGTAGTAGACCCAAGTTAAGGCAGCGTACGATCTGTTCTGTTTAAAATACTCGTAGTCCGGGTAAATCAGTAAAAGCTTTGGTTCCTGGACCAGAACCGGGACATTTTAGCCATGTGCAGTCAGCTGTCCAACTCCCCACCTCCACCCTGGAACCGATGCGTTCGCACGAGCACCGCCAGACAGAAAAAGAAGTTTAACGCTCCGGGTCCTTCCTTTTGGTCTAAGTTATCCCAGGCGAGTTTCAGCCCGGTCTTTGTCCAGATGTGGAAGTAGTTCTGGTACCGTAGCAGTGAGTGGTGAGATGTTTAAGGAAGTCAGGGGCATTTGGTTCCCGTATCTCTGGGTTCGTGCGTCGACGTGGAAGAACTTAATAGCTGTTGACTTTACGATTATTCTTTTAGATTTTAAAACCTTCTGCGCTGTCATCCAAAGTGGAAACAAGAGAAATAAGCAAAGTACCGATTTCTGTTGTGGTTGCATGTAGGTCACATCAAAATCCAAGATGGCCACCGTCATTTATATACACACATACTCGTATATCTAAGAAATGGCCGCCCCCATCATCTGAGGAAACTATGCTTTCTGGGTTTTATATTAAATTAGTGTTTCCTCAAATAATTGGGGGGCCCAAAGATGAATCTATGGGGGCCAAGACCACCACTGGCCACCCCCTGGCTCTGCCATTGCACCTTGTGGTGACTAAAGTTGCTCCCAACACTTACCAGGATCTCTCACTCTGCGTTGCCTTTGACTAAAAATAAAATAAAAACACTCTGTCCTCCACTGTGCAACTCCTGCTCACCTGAATATCTTGTACTGAAACATTAAGGCTTTCTTGTGTTCCCTGTTCAATTCCAGTACAAAAATATATATATATTTTTAAATCCCCCCAGCAATGGGGGACATCGGTGTACTGCTTGTTTAGTTTTAATTTAATTAATTTGGCATTTAAAAGTAAAATAAAAAGCTTTTGAACCAGCCACGCCAAGATAAAGTGCTTGTTTTTACTGATCTATGATCCCATGTGTTTTTTCTTTGGCTTTAAAAGTAAATAATTAAATATGAAGTCAGTGCAGTCAACCTGCTGCTGTTACACCTCTGCGCTGGAACGGGATGTAGTCACAGGGCTGAGTTGGTGAGTAGGTTCAGAGTTCCACCTTTTACGTTCCTCAACTTGACTTCATCTTCTTTAAATCATGACCCATTTTTGATATTTAAAAATGGATTCAGAATTGTTGACGTCTGCGTCGCGATGCTTCCAAAAATACATTTTAATCCCCACTTTGCACGTCGTCTCGGAATTGTTTTATCGGTTTTGTTTACATCAGATGTCAGGCGTACCTTTTAAAAAGAATGACTGTAAAACACAAACTGTAGGTTAAGACCAAAATACTGTTTGTGATCTTCATGGACAGGAGCTTCAGGCTCAGTCGTGGAGAGGAGGGGTCCTGTTCAGGAACATCAGGAACATCAGGGTCTCGGCTCTGCTTTATGCAGACGATGTGATTCTGTAGACGTCTGGCCGTGGCCTTCAGCGTGCACTGGGGGCAGCATTACTTTTAGGTCTGGATGCAGACTGTCGAGCTTAAGTTGGTGCCCTCAGCTGTGAAACTTTGACTGAGTTATGCTAATGAGCTCAAACCAACCGAGCGTCTGCCATCTTGAGAACCAACGAGAGACAGCCCATGTCATGTCAAGGGGCCTCCCT